CACATGCCTTTGATCCCAGCACTTGGGAGGCAGAGGTAAGCCTATCTCTATGAGTTCAAGGCTAGCCTGCTCTACAGAGCGAGTTCTAGGACAGGCTCCAAGTTCCAAAGCTACACAGAGAAACCCTGTCTCGAAAAACAAACAAAAAGAAGAATAATCTTTAGCTAGGATATAGCTCAATGATAATATGCTTGGCTAGCATAGTTGATGCTATGAGTTTAGCCACTAGTATTACCAAAAGAAAATTGAATTTTATTCTCTTTCAAGAGTATATCCTATAAGGTTTCTTAAAAGATTTGTCTTATTTTTTCAGTCACATCTTACTCCAGGTGAGGAGAGAGGATCTTAGAAGACATTAGTCTATTCTAATCTCTCTCTCTCTCTCTCTTTTTTTTTTTTTTTTTTTTTTTTTTGTTGTTGTTGTTGGTTTTTCCAGACAGGGTTTCTCTGTGGCTTTGGAGGCTGTCCTGGAACTCGCTCTGTAGACCAGGCTAACCTCGAACTCACAGAGATAGGCTTACCTCTGCCTCCCGAGTGCTGGGATTAAAGGCTTGTGCCACCACTGCCCTGCTGACATTAGTCTATTCTTACCAGTGAGGAATTTCTTTTATAATATTCAAAATGAAGTTCTGCAGTTTGTTTGTCTCTTAACTTGTAATCAAAATTAACCATAAACTAAAAGTGTATATGGCCTCTATGAAGTATGATGGAACCTCCCTACATCCAGATGCAACCTAGTATTGGCCTGGGCAAAGTCAGAATTAACCAGCTGTGTCATGTGACATGGGATGGCCATGACATCTGACATGTCATATCATGGCTAAAACTTTTCTCCAAGAACAACCCTCAAAGAAGGCAATGCTTCTAACTAAATACATTTATATAACTAAATACATTTATTTTTAACAAAAAGTTAAAAATTTTGTTTTAACTTCACCTTATTATCCTATACATTGAGACCTTAGGAATCCTGATCGTGTCACCCAACATATCAGTTAAATTTCTTGTTTTTAATTATTAGCATAGCAACCAAAGGCTTTCACCATGTAAGAAAGAGCAGAAGGAAAAAGAGGCAGCAGGTAAAGAAACACAAGTCAGACACTTTGCTCTAACAGAAACAGAAATAAGAAGGTAGCATGTTGAGAGCCTGGTAAAGAGGGTGGGTGGTTCTAGATTTTTTTTTCTAACATTTATATGCTAATAGAAACCATCCAAAGTGAAGGGGAAAATATACCATGTAAAAATACTATCTACACTGTAACACTGAATACAAATATAACCCCTCCCCTCAATGTTCTTCTTACCCAGCAATCTAATTATTTCAGCAGTGTTTTCAAAGCCTTCAGCTCTTCTGAGTTCTCTTTCTCAATGTTAGAGTACCTGCTCCTAGGATCATACATACTTTTTCTGGAACTATTGTGACATCTCTGTCTGGTGGCCTTCCTCTGCTATTATCAACCGTAATGCTACATGATCTCTGTCACCTTCTGTTTTTATGTCAGTCTCCTTCACTGCTCATGAAAATTCCTAAATCCAACTCCAGATTTGTTAAAGGAAGCACTAGGGTTCCAACAGGACCACACTTTAAACATAAAAACCTAAGACAAACCCTTTAAAAACTGCGTTGCAATTCTATAATCAGCAAGGTATCAGTAAGCCTTATTACTTGGCAAAGCTGTTCTCTAAGCTTTTAACACCCCATCCTGAAATTTTCTGTACAAGGCATAAAGTGGCCAATGCCAAACTCTTGGCTGCCAGCAATCTGCATACATACTAATTACATCACCACCACCACAGGGCTTTCTCCTTCCCCAACCCCCCACTCTGGGCTCAAACAAAAAGCCAGTGTGCATGCACATAAAGCACATTTGCAATGTCTATGCCACACACTAGCTAGGTCTGCTCTGCAAAGGGATTAGTGTGCCTAATTCAAAGCTGACCATTGCAGCAAGCAACAAAAAGCAACTATGTTTTGTTCATAAATGTTATAACACACTCCTTCAAAACTCCATTTCTAAAAATGAATACTTTATCGGGTTACATGTAAATGTTAGCCCAGAATAAAGAGCATCTCCACTCACTGATACATTTTGTTTAATAAAAAATATTTGTTTCAAAGTATACTTGTTCAGGAAGTATTTTACAAATTATAATGGTAACATTTTACAAAATGTACTTTTAAAATAGCAAAGCTTCTAAGGAAAAACAAGGCCAATTAATAATTTATAAAGCTAGGACAAATAAAACTCAGTAATTCATACATGCCCAAGTGTGCAACTCATATTGTCTGAAAAGAGCACCGCAAAATAACAAGGCTTTCTAATTTCACAAATCAAGCTACAGATACAGAACTGGCCATTATAGTAAGCATTAGAAAAACTGTAAAGCTCTTTGATCTTTTTTAAAAGGTATTATTGTTTTTGTTTTGGGGAAACAGGGTCTCTCACCATAGCCCAGGCTGTCCTGGGACACACTATGGAGCATCAATCCTTGGGCAATTCTACTGCTGGGATAAAAGTTGTTCATATACCACCACACCTAGTTTTAAATGGTTTTCTTAAGCATGAATAATTTTACCAGTCTTATACCACAGTCTTCTTTTTTAAATACATTATTGAGTTTCTAGTGCACAAGCAGAATATCACCTTGGAGTCCGTATAAACCCTCAGATGTAGAAACAACTTATAGGTAGACTACCTGGAAAAAGAGCTTCTCTGAATGGTAGTTTCATAAAGATGCCTTTAACAGCTTTACTCCAGGCTACTGCCCTCCTTTTTCACCAGGGTTTTTAATGGTGCTCGGCAAAGTGGGTTTCAATCAGCACTTGCTAGACTGAAAGACCACATGCGTGAAGACCATTTGTCCAAAGTTTGACTGAAGCCACCTACAGGGTCCCACCATCATTACCCTGAGAAACCCTGGAATAATTCTCATATAGTCAGGGCTGGAGAGATGGCTCAGCAGTTAAGAACAGTTGTTGGTTTTGTAGAGGACAAGGGCTTGGTTGCCAGCACTCTCAGGATGGCTCTTTACTTCAGTTCCAGGGGATCCAACACTCTCTTCTGGTCTCTGAGGACACTACTCACACACTGTCACAAATATACAGGCAAAATAATTAAAAAAAAAAAAAAGATACAACAATGACATCTCTCTCCACAGGAGAGGTGAATACATTATTATCAGTCTACTTTTTTTGGGGGTAAGAAATGAAGCCACTAGGCAGGATTATGTTGTCATGTATTACGAAGTGTTATGTGCGGCACAGGTCTAATATGTAGCCTTCACCATCACAATTTTATTTTCCCAGTAACAGGATAAGATGACTGTCTTTCAGTTCCTACCACCTTTCAGTTGAAGCCCCTAAGCACTCTCGGCTTAATCTGGAGGTGACAGACAAGCAACAGATAGTAGTAGCACAAGAAATGCTTTGGAGTCCAGCACCTGAAGTGAGGGCAGTGGTCTTGGGGTGCTTGGGGGAACCAAGCCCCACGTGCAAACCACAGATTTCGAAACACTATGAAGTTCTTGCTGCAGAGGAGCTTGCCTCTCTCTTCCTCTTCCTCCCTTCCGCATGACCCTCATGGTTCTTTTCCCCACCAGAAAAGACTATAGCATTGTTATTGCCACAGTTTGGCAACATTACATGTCCCAACCACAGTGACTGGCACAGAGCAGGCAGCAAATATTTATTGAATGGAGCAAGGACAAAAACTGTTTTTACGGTCATGGAGGGGGACCCTAAGTGCTGCTTCTAACCTAGTGGAATAAGAAATACACCATAAGCATTTGGTCACTGGTGTAAAGTGAACATTTAAAAGCCCAGTTTACAAAAAAGACAGGTAGCAATAAAACCTTATGTGACCCCCCCAACCCCAGGCAGTATGCGAAAAACAAAACAGAACAGCACACAAAACACAAAAAAAATTTTCCTGCTTATTATGTGTTATACAAATACAGAGCTGGGAGGCCATATTTTAATATTTTAGACTATAAAAGCAAACAGCATTACCCTAAAGAATGCCAAGATTAGGTCATCTGAACACGAATAGCATTTGGTTTTTAAATCCTCTCAACATTCTAAAGATAAGAATGTAGAGAAGACTAGGAGACATTTCCCCAAAGTTCTGCCTGCCAAAGCCCCCAAATACCACACTCCACGGAGAAATGTGGCCTTTAAACACTACCAGTAATCAACAGATACAAGTTTTACATCAAATCATTCCCTATACACAGATCGAATACCACAGGTCGGCGTAGGGGGGTGGGCAGGGGGACGACGACGACACGGGGACTGGGAGGGGACTTGTGAAGCTACATCAAATGGCTTCAAAGATGATTCCTGACCATTTTACCACTTTCCCTCTGGGTGGGCACCGGTGACCGAAGGCTTGGCTACTAGTTCAGCTACTCTCGAGTTCTTTATAATGTGAAAATCCCCAGCGTCTCCTGACAGCAAAACTACTGGGGCCAGAGAAAGCCAAAAGCAACAGGGACCCCTACCCCTCAGACACTAAAGAAAAAAAAAAAAAAACCGGCACGTTTTGACGTTCGGGGCGCGGGGTGGGGAGAGGAGACGGGGGGGGGGGGGCTCTCATCCCTCGAAATTCGCTGCAGTGATAAATCCGTGGGATTTCAAGCACAAACCTGCAGATTCCAAAATACAGGTTAAGCATCTCGTCCACCATGAAGTAGTTCTGCGCCCCTGCACCACCTCCTTTGTCTCAACTGTCCCTGCAAACTCGCATTCCAATGCCCTCCAGTAAACAAGCTACCTAAATGAAAAAGAGGAGGACGTTCTAAGTCTTTTTCTTATTATATTTTAGCGGGGAGAAGCAGCAGGCTTCCTGGAGCCTCTTTCCCCAGCGGGGAGCAGGCCAGGCTCCACAGCGCGGGGACCTCGATTCGCTAAGCTGGCGGCCGAACCGCGCGCAGACACCGGGCCACGCCGCCCCCGCGCCCTCCGCCCCCCGCCCGGCCTCAGGCTCCGGCCCCAGCCTCACCTCCGTGGATGGGCAGCGGTGCCAGCACCTGGCCGCGGACCTCGGCCTTGGGTGAGTCCAGCCCGTAGCGCCCGCGGTCGATGCGGAACGTGAGCGGGGTGCCGCGGCCGGGCTCCTGCACCGTCACGTTGATGAGCGCCGTGTAGTACTCCTGGCTCGCGTTGTCCGCCCGCGTCGGCCACAGGCTGCAGGTCAGCAGTGCCAGCGCCGCGAGCCGGGCCGGGCCCGCCCGCGCTGCGCCGCTCATCGTCCCTCCGGCCGCCGCCGCCGCCGCTCGCGGACCGGGCTCCGGGGCCGGCGCTGAGAGGCGGGGCGGGCGCGGCCTGGGCTGCGGCGGGAGCGCGCGCGCGCCTCGCGACGGCCCGGGCACGAGCACGGCCCTCCACAGCGCCGCGGCCCCGCCGCTCGCCACCCTCACGTCCGCGGCCCGCGCGCGAGCACGCGCCCGTGGGTCCCTCAGGGGAAAACGGCGTGTCAGGCCGCGTGCTGCCTCTCCAGAGCAGCCCGAACGCCGAGGAACCAGGCCTGTGGACAGGGCGCCCGAGGGGACTCGGGGAGGATGGGAAGGAGTGGTCCCGACTGCCCCAGGGTAGCGATGCCGCCTCAGGCGCGTGCCCGCTGCCGCCCCGCCCCCCCTCCAGCCGAGCGGCAACGCGCAAGCCACAAGCGCAAACCCGACCACCGCGCATGCGCGCTAGGCCTTGCCTACTCCCGCCCTCCGGCACGAGGGCCAGGGTGGTCCAGTCACCTGCTTGCTGGCAGCCAGCTCCGTGAACTGTCCCAGGCTTCATAGCCTGCTACGACCTGGATCCGTGAAGTTTTCCAAGGACCTATAGAGATGTTAGTCATACGACTATAAGAGAAACCAGCTAAACGTTGTTTTAAATTAAATATCTTTGAGAAATAACATTCTCACTGGGTCAGTTGCATCTTGTGTAATATCTGACATCAGTTGGGAGGTGTCATTGTGTTTGGGGCCCGGGAGACCTAGACCTAATAGAGACATCTAAGTGGTTAGCAAGATTCGTTAGAGACAGATGCAAACCTCATAAGATTGTTATGATGGTCTCTTTCCCCAGGATACCCAAATCCACAGACGCTCACGTCCTTTCTTTAAAATGGTACTTGCAGCATTGAACAAGGGCTCTTGCTCTGTTTCTCCTGTAGCTGGACCTGTCTTCACAGGATGAAGTGGACTGCAGCACCCATTCTCAGGCCTGAGACTCTGGAGTTGTCTGCCAAACAATAGCAGGCTATGTTTAGAGCCTACATGGGGTTTTCTCTAATAAGAATGTTCTCTGCCCCTCCCATTTGTGCTCTCTTCGTTAAAAAATGCTCCTGGCCCCTAGTTCTAGCCCTTATGAGGGTCTTTAGTGGGGGGGGGGAGCCCATGCACCCAGCGGGAGATACTGCAGGGGTCCACAGACACCACCCTATTAAATCAGGCCAGAAGGGGGCACTACAATGGCTCTTTCAGCTGTTGTGAGTTTATCAAGGAGGAATTTTATTTGCGAGTGCTTTTTTAAAAATGTATTTAAAAAAATTCATGTGTTTCCAGGCGGTGGTAGCTCCCGCCTTTAATCCCAGCACATGTGAGGCAGAGGCAGATGGATCTCTCTGAGTTTGAGGCCAGCATGGTCTACAGAGTGAGTTCCAGGACAGCCAAGGCTACATAGAGAAACCCTGTCCTGAAAATTAAAAAAAAAAAAAGTATGTTTGAGTGTGTGCGCACCACATACATGTTGGTGCCCATGAAGGCCAGAAGAGGGAAGTGGATCCCTTGGAACTGGAGTTGCAGACAGTTGTGAGTTGCTGAGAATAAAAATGTCTTCTTTAAGAGCAGTATGAGCTTTTATCCACTGTGCTGAGCCATCTTTCCAGTCCTTCAGAGTGCTTTTAACTTTTCCCTGACCGTCACTGAGAGACATCCCACACCCCATCCCCGTTGTTTTTTTTGTTTGGGACAGGGTTTTGCAATGTAGCCCTGCTGGCCTGAAACTCACTATATAGATCAGGCTGTCCTCAAATTCACAGCTGCCCTCCTGCCTCTCCTGGAGTGCTGAGCTGTGCGCTACCACATTTGGTATGACCTCCACTTTAGAGGAGGTCTTGATGCCTTAGTAGACACCAGCATCTAAAGTGATGTTAAGAGCCCTTTGTTCTGGAGGGTGTCATTGTCTTTGACTTCATTATAACAGGGACACAAAGTTGCCTTATTTTAAAATAGTAAAACACACACACCAGCATTTTAACATTTTAACAATGCACAGCTAGCAGCACTAAATGCTCACTGTTGTATAACCATCACCATTATTTATCTATAGAACACTTGTCATCTCCCAAAATGAAGCTGTACTCATCAAACAACTCTAAATTCTTCATGGTTCCAACCTCTGGCAACTGCCCTTCTACCATCTCTCTGCTCTAGTCTCTCGTTGAAATGGAACTATTTTTTTTCTTATAACAGCCAGTATTTTTTTCTTATAACAGCCTCAAGGTTCATCCAAGTTGTCACATGTGTTCTTTCTTCATTAAGGTTGAACAATTCCTTGATTTACTCTCACTGACGGCCACCTGAGTTGCTTCCACCTGAGTTTGGCTATTCCCATGAAAGGGGGCTGTAAACACAGGTGTGTGAGTCTCTCTTCAAAGAGCCTGCTTTCAGTTTCTCTGTGTACCTACTCAGAAGTGAAATTTCTAGGCCAAGCAGTCATTTTTATGCTGCATTTTTTTGAGAGGGCTGGGTCACTTGTACTGTGTCCCACAGCAGCTGTGCCATTTTACGTAACCACCAACAGTGGTCCAGGGTTTCATTTGCCCTGCATCCTCACCAACTCCTGTTTTCTCTTTTATTTTCTTTTAATAGCAGCCATTGGAGTGAATGGGTTGTGGTATCTCCCTGGAGTTTTGATTCACATCTTCCTATTGATTAGTGATGTGTCTGTCTATGTACTTATCCCTAAAAATTAAGTAAACAAAGAATTCATTGAAAATATAAGGTAAGGACTGGGGACGTGGCTCAATTGGTAGCATGCTTGCCTAGCATGCACAGGGCCCTGGTTCAATTTTCCGCACCACATAAACCAACTGTGGTGGTATATGCCTGTAATCCCAGCAGTCAAAGGAGGAGGCAGAAGGACATCATCCTCAGTTACACAGCGCATTCAAGGCCATCAAGACAATTCTGAGATACATGAGAGCCTGTCATTAAAAACAAAAGGTATCTGGTAAATAAGAACATCACCTCTGTCTGGGGTACTTGAGTGTGGCAGGTCTCCTGGAGGACAAGGACTGAGGTCCGAATAGAGCTGCAGTTGCCAGTAAGTGAGCTGCCCTCCTGCCCACCTTGACAGAGCCATCTTTCTGTCTCTGCAAGCACCACCCTCCTCTGTCTCTGCAAGCCTGTCCATCTGCCTCTCATCCTGTTTCCCACTTCATTAGAACGCCTAGATCACCTGTACACCTCATGTCAGACTCCCCTCTTCCCAGAGTGCCATTGAGATCTCAGCTACCAACTTCCGAGGTTCCAGACTCTACTAAGGGCTTCAGTCTGTCAGGATCTGGCCTGTACCTCAGAGCAGTGTCTCCTTTTTCAGGATCATGGGTGCAGATCCTGTGTGTAAGGCTTGTTGTATAGTGCTTGGGGGACTCCAGGGGTTAAAGCCTCAGCATGGCCCCATGAGCAGTGCTGAAACCCTCAAAGGGTTGTCCAGATTTCCCAAAACCTGTCTTTCTCTCCCCCTCTACCTCCTCCTTTTTTCTCCTCCTCCTTCCCTTCTACCTCTCCCTCTTCTTCCCTCTTCTCTTCCTCCATATCCTCTTTCACAGCTCCTTTTCCTTGTGCTTCCTTGTTTATTACACTTTCTTTTTCTTTTCTGTTTGTTTTTTGAGATGGGGTTTCTCTGTAAAACAGCCCTGGATGTCCTGAAACTCACAGGCTGCCCTTGAACTCATAGAGATCTGCTTGCTCACTGTGTCCTAGGATTCAAGGCACATGCCACCACACCATCCAGTCTATTTTCTTAATTTTTCTGAATGATCCCCATTGGTCCTGCAAGACCCTGCTCTTATTTTATTAGTGCTATGTTTACTTTTATCACGATTCCCACTTTCATTTCCTGCGCCACAGACAACCATTCTAATTTACTTAATGTGTCTCTGTGTTTTGTTTTTCAAGATGTGTGTTTTCTAGTATTGTGTACTTTTAAATTGTTAATACTACCAGGTTATGAATATCTTCTGTCTTCCAGTCTCTTTATTAGTACTACACTGGGCTTTTAGCTTTACATTTATTAATGTTTATGATGAAAAGTAATATCCAGGGTCTGGGAAGGTAGTTCTAGGGCAAAGTGGTGACTGTGAAAGTATGAGAACCTAAGTTCTGATCCCCAGAGCTCACATAAAGCCAGATACGTTACCACATGTTGGCCAATGGGGAAGCAAGATAGGTGGAACTAAGAGAGGTGGAGGATTCTGGGAAATATAGAAGGGAGTCTCGATGTGATCTCAGGAGAGGATGCATGAGTCTGGCATTCTCGGTAAGATAAGACCATGTAGAAATACATATATTAGTAATTATGGGTTAATAGTTTATACAGAGCTAGCCAATAAGAAGCTCTAGACATTGGCCAACAGCAATATAATTAATACAGCATCTCTGTGTGTTACTTAGTGCTGATGCAGCTGTGGGACCAGGCTGGCAGGAAAGTGCACGTAACACACCATGGCATGAACACATCTACCACACAGATGGAGAATGAACACACACACACACACACACACACACACACACACACACACACACACACGGCACACAAAGACTTTTTAAAAAGGAAAGTGCAGATATTTTGTGTGTACACCCAACAAATGTTTCCAAGGTTGAAAGACATGTGTAATAACTATCTAAAACAATACAGAACATCACTAACACCTCTGAAAATCTCCTTGGCCTTCTCAGTGATGAACATCCTGGTATTCTGATTTCTGTGGCCACAGATTAGTTTGATTTACACAAATGGAACCATACAACACATACTTTTCGGTGTCTGGTTTCTTTCCTTTTCTTATTTAAATGATTTATTTATTTTTATTTTCTGTGTATTGGTAAACACTGCATGTATATCTGTGTGAGGGCATCAGATCCCCAGGAACTGGAGTTGCAGACAATTGTGAGCTGCCATGTAGGTGCTGGGAATTGAACCCAGGTCCTCTGGAAGAGGAATCACCACCCTTAACTGATGAATCATCTTTCCAGCCACTAGTTTCTTAGTGTTATGGATGAAATTCTTTT